TGTGTCCTGTTTGCTTTTAGCTTGTAGATAATCACTTTTATCCGTTCAAATTCAATAAAAAACACTTTGTGTAACATGTGTTACATATTTTGCGATAAATAAAATATTTGTAGGGTTAATTATAAATGCTTCTTTTCATTTTTTATTGTTGTTATTGTTCCGAACAATGCCACACACAAAAAATACCGGAAAATATTAAAAGTGGCGAAAATTCAATTTTTTGGTATTTTTTCCAAAAAAGTCCCCAAACTATCGGAATGTTTAGATTTTCATAAAATTAACTCTACATAGTTGCATAACCATTATATGAAAGTTTCAACGAATTTTGCTGGTTAATTGCGAAAGTGTGGAGCCACCTTAAAGCAGATTGACAGACATTCAGACAGACAGACATAAGCACATATAGGTAGGAACAGAAATGCATAAATATATATGTACCAACAGACAGACAGACTGACAGACAGGGAGATGCACAAATATGTAGTCCTGACAGACGGACAGACAGACAGACAGACAGGCAGACTGACAGACTGATGGACAGACAGACAAGGAGATTCACAAATATGTAGTCCGGACAGACGGACAGACAGACAGACAGACATGGAGATGCACAAATATGTAGTCCTGACAGATGGACGGACAGACAGACAAGGAGATGCACAAATATGTAGTCCAGACAGACTAATAAGAAGAAAGCAGGCATGTAGGCAGAAAAAGAGACAACAGTTTAAGAAGGGGCAAAATAAACCTGCTTTTTTCAAGCTGAAGTTATACTCTGGACATTTTACTTACCTGGTTTCCATGGTTTTCAATTAGAAATCCTGATGGCTGTATTGGTCCTGTATAGTAATGAATTTGCAATTTTCTTAATGCTCAAGACCTTTTTAATGAAAGCGCACGACGAAGTGGCTATGAAGTATCCGGCCATTCCAATTTTATGTTTTAATGGCTTTTCAAATTGCTTCTTGTTTCAATTTCAAAATGAAATTATTTGTGAATGATGTTGGCTATATTTACCATAAAAGACACTCTTTCTTACAACATTCTTCACTTAGAATACTGTGCCTGTTATATTACAAAGCATAGATGAGCTATTTAAAAACAATGTTACAGACACAAACCATTGAGACGGTGAAGTGTCTTAATGAAGCCAATTCTACTCTACCAAAAACCGTATAAGTTTTCAATATGTTTCATGTAATAATATACTACACTTAGCGTGTTTTCAAAATTCTACTCTACCAAAAACTGTATGTTTCATGTAATACTATACTACACTTAGCGTGTTGTCAAAATTCTACTGCTTGTAAATTATTATTAGATTGGGTTCTGCTGGTGTGTTTTATTGAATGGGGTTCTGCTGGTGTGTTTTATTGGATAGGGTTCTGCTGGTGTGTTTTATTTGATGGGGTTCTGCTGGTGTGTTTTATTTGATGGGGTTCTGCTGGTGTGTTTTATTTGATGGGGTTCTGCTGGTGTGTTTTAATGGATGGCAGCTTGCTGCAAAGTATTTATCACTACTTTTTTTTCAAAATTGCAAAACAGGAATAATATTTTATTTAAAGCGAATCATTTACATACTATTCAGTTTATTGAAATGAACAATAAAACCTTGCTCTACATTACCTATCGGAAGTTATATATCATAAACCAGGTGGTAAGTAGTGATCAACATACTTTGATTTGCACAGTTCTGAGTTGGATCAATACTTCACAAAATATTCTGTGAAGTGTGATATTTAATTTATAATTTGTTACCATTGGCTAGCTAGGCCAACTGTCATCAGATGTTCTGATGAAGGTTGTTTCACCCAATTGAGTCATATGTCAACTTATAAGATAAAGTACACCAATGCTGGGTTTTTGGAACATTCTTAGGTCAAGGTCACCCTTTCTAAAAATAGACAATGAAGGCTACAGTCTTTATCTCAAAAAAAGGTCCCTGTTTCTAAAAAAAAATCCATAGAGGGAGGGGGATATGGTTAGGCACATGGCGGGCCCTTGCTGACTTGTCAGTGTTCAAGTCTCTTTTAAAAGACTTAAATGAAATCTACTTTTATTAAGTTATTGTGGGTACAGTGTATGTTGACTACTTTTATTAGGTTATTGTGGGTACAGTGTATGTTGACTACTTTTATTAAGTTATTGTGGGTACAGTGTATGTTGACTACTTTTATTAAGTTATTGCGGGTACAGTGTATGTTGGCTACTTTTATTAAGTTATTGTGGGTACAGTGTATGTTGACTACTTTTATTAAGATATTGTGGGTACAGTGTATGTTGACCTTACAGAAGGTGAGGAGGCAGACATAGAGATGGCTAAAGAAGCACTGGAAGGTCTTGCTCGTGAGGAACACCAGAAAGGCGAGGATCAGGAACTCTTCTTCTTTTATGGGACAGAGGTGAGTTTGTAGGGTCATTGACTCAAAGCTGTTAGGTCATTATAAATCGGTCAAAGGCATTGGAAAGTATACAAGTGCCAGTTAAATGTGTGAGTTTATATTTTTGGTGAGAGGTCAAATTGCATACAATATTATAAAAGCATCAAGGCATGAAATATATGGGACAATGTCCTTTTGAATTATAAATAAAAAGGTTGTTTTTCTATAACAGTTATGGCCGACAGTATCATTGTGAAAATTCTTATTCTGTGGCTGTATATTTGATATTGTTCCCAGTGCCTTAAAAGGAACTATGTATATACATGTAGTAAGTAATGTTTTTTTCAATCTATCCATTCTCCTGTCCATCAGTCCTTTCCATGCAATAATTTTCCTAAAAATCGTTGATCATTTGACAAAAATGTCAGCAACCCAACTGCCCTTACATAATTTAAACCGCAATTGCTATAAATAAATCCCATTTCTGATGAAATCTGGTCATGTAAAATGATATTCAACCCCAAATTCTATTACACTTTGTCTACCATTCATTTCCTGAAAGTTTTGATCTAACTTCTGACGATTGTCTCAGTCCTTTATATCATACAACATAAAGCCCACAAAAGTGGATTCAGTTATCCTTTTCACACCAGACATCTATTTTAAAATATTATACATTACCACAGTTTGTCTTTTCTTTTTGTAGAATGAATTTTGTGATAATTTGCGTGATTTTGCCAACTTAGAGGACCAATGCCCACTCCTGGTCATCCTTGACTTTCCTGACCAAAAGGTTTATCTCAGTCCGGAGACAGTGATCACGAAAGAAGTTGCATCAGACTTTGTAAAGCGTTATTTTAATGGAACACTGGAGGCCACTTCCATCAGTTGAAGTCCAAGTCATGTTTGTGTCCTTCATGTGTGTTTTATATGGTAATCAGTGGAGTTGATATATTCTCCATTCCAGGCTGGAGGGAACTTACACCGACAGTTTTTAAGAACTGGAAAAGATTTCTCTTGACTGGTACATTTTGTTGGTGGAAGTACAAAACCATCTTCTTAATGGTTTCCACATTTATATTTCGCTAAATTATGACTGTGGAGTGGAACATTATGCTAATACAGGATAGTAATGCTTCATTATCCACATAGTGTAGGATATCACAAATCAGTGACCTTTACGACCTGAACTTTAACCTCATATTTGACCTATAAATATATATATATGGATGAAATTGAGGTTGCCATTTGTGGTCCCCCTATAAAACATGGTCGATACTGCAAAAATAAACAATTTGGGGAATGAAGTGCTGTATGAATTAAAACATTCAGCTCGGCCGTTGACCACCACATCAATCATTACAATCCTAATGCAGGAGGGACCAACATCAGTACAAGCTTAAGGATCCCCAAACCACTGCTATAAACTGTAACTAAGTTCTTAAGGATCCCTGTACCACTGCCAAAAACTGTAACTAAGTTCTTAAGGATCCCCGTACCACTGCTATAAACTGTAACTAAGTTCTTAAGGATCCCCGTACCACTGCTATAAACTGTAACTAAGTTCTGAAGGATCCCTGTACCACTGCTATAAACTATAACTAAGTTCTTAAGGATCCCTGTACCACTGCCAAAAACTGTAACTAAGTTCTTAAGGATCCCCGTACCACTGCCATAAACTGTAACTAAGTACTTAAGGATCCCTGTACCGCTGCCATAAACTGTAACTAAGTTCTTAAGGATCCCCGTACCACTGCCAAAAACTGTTACTAAGTACTTAAGGATCCCCGTACTACTGCCATAAACTGTAACTAAGTTCTTAAGGATCCCCGTACTACTGCCAAAAACTGTAACTAAGTTCCAAAGGATCCCCGTACTACTGCCATAAATTGTAACTAAGTTCTTTAGGATCCCCGTACCACTGCCAAAAACTGTAACGAAGTATTGGATTTTTTTGATTTTTTTTCTGGCAGGATTTAAGCTTTGATAAACCATTCTGAAAAGAAACCCCTACCTTGCGGGTCTTTAATGAGAAATAATAAAGATGATATGAGCAGAATATAATCAACAACAGTGTTCTGAGTGTAAAAAATTCAGTGGGACTAGTCTGGGGTTTGAATCCAAACGGAAGTTAAGGGGGGGGGGGGTACTGTACATACTGTAGGAAAAACCACAGTATAGTGGGACAGGGATCCTTAAAGTGACCTCTCACGACAATGTGAACCACAAGGAATATATATTTTCAATAAGCATAACAAGATGATGAGTGATACAGGAGCCTGTTTGTGAGGTGATATATGTAATGTTTATTGTAAACTTAATCGACATTCTAATGTCAGTACAACAACACAACAACACTTACATATACTACTCTGGTATAATAAACTTCTGTGTTAATGGCGTGTGTTTTATAATTCAACAGAATGTAGTGAATCTCAAAGAAATGACCTAGATTAACAACTTATTGTGTAGCAAACTATAACAGACTTAAATAACATGATGATAAAAAATTACAACACAGCTGTTATTATGGAAATGGAACAAAAAATAAATAAATATACATTTGTTAATTTAAGTTCCCACAGATACGGATGATGTATTGGAATAATAATGGATGAAGGCTTAAAACCTCTAGGTAGAAGAATGAATCATGTGTTTTGGAGTATTTAGTGGGAGAAGGGAGGTAATTCTAATCAAGACCAAAGGGGAGACTACCCCTGTTACCGTGCATATTGCTATAAGCTTATAGACATTTGTAAAAGAGTGCATGACATTTTTAACTGGACCTAATATGTTCATTATATATATGCTTGTTTATATTAGAAGTTAAGAAGACTTTATAAAAGTCCATTGTTGTCATCTTTTATGGTATGCAACAGTGAACATTTCACATTATTTATCGATCAATTGTAGAATGGATATAATATAAAGGATGTCTAAAAACACTTGAGGTTTTGTTTTTAATTCCTTGTAGGTTTCTAATCTGTCTACAAAACTGGTATTGTTAAAAACACCTGAAACATGTATGTCTTTTACATATGGTGGTTGTTTATCTTGTCTGTTAGAAATGGTGATACACAAAGTGTTCAATGAAATTACAAGTCTTTGAACCACAAAGAGATAATTACTAAACCAGGGATATACCAACCTGATATGTGATCACCTGGAGGCAGTGTATTATCCAACATACCTAGAGTATTCTTGTGTAATAACTCTAGTTGACCCGTGGTCTTGAACATAAATGAAATATTTTTAAATGTCATTATAATTCTTAAAAATATCTGCACACAAGAAAAAGCAAATACCTGAAAACTAGCGAATACATGTCAGTCTATTCAAAAGTTCAATAAATGAAGATCAATTTGAATTCACCTTTCATTTTTAAACAATGGATACATTGAATCAGTTATCTTCAATCATTTTGTCAAAAATACATTTTTCTTGAAATACCATTAAAGTAAAATTATAGTACAAAATATGTACATGCATATACTTTAAAACTGGTTACAAATCAATAAAAGAAATAAATATAAAAGGAACATGCAGAAGTAGATGGATCGTAATGATTATGATGACACATCAGAAACAAGTACTTGTGTGCAACAAGTCACAGCAGAAGTGACGTATCGCGTATATTTCAGTTCTCTGATTAAGCAATTATTAACTAACTACTGAATATATTTCAAATAATACTGCCACAAAATGCACAGGAGATACGATGACGTGATATTGAGATATAATAATCTGAAGCTGTTATGATCTGGAGATGTAATATAACACAAGAGAGGAACATCTATGATTAAACACGAAACGCATTTCATTCACTACATGTTACATCTTATTTTGAATTATGTAGATCATCAACGATCTAAGAAAAAATGAGAATAGCAATGTTTGATCAAAACTATAATTAGAACTCAAAGTTTAGGAAAGTAAGACAAAATCTGAAAAAAGGAAGTTACATGGATACTCGTGAACAGTAAAAGGAGAATATACCGGTTTTTCGAAAGAGCCAGCGTCTTGTAAATCAATGTCAGATCAAGGAATTGTCGCGTTCCCATGGCGTAAACTGATGTAGTGACGAAATCACGTGGCACATTAATGAGCTGAAGCATCAACCCTCATACCACACAAGGAAATAGAACATTTCTCAATGAGAACTTGATAAATCTGCACCTCTCAATAAGGCAGTCAATCGATCTCAGGATCAATAACTGCTGTTTAGATCCTTAAAAAATACTTTATGCTTGTTTTAGTTTATATTTACACGCTTTAATGTCGTATCAAAAGCTAAGATAATTTAAGGATGTGTGTAATGTATGCGTGTATGGGATCTGGAGGCCGTAGGTGCGGATTTGATGCCTACTTTCAAGTGCTATCTCACTGAAGCACCCAGTACAGTATTTCATTCGGTCCCATTATACTGACCAATTGTCTTGATTACCTTAAATGCTGCACCTTTATCTTAGAACGGTGTTTCAATAGATGAATTAAAGCTAGCATTTTAGGGACGTTGGCACAAATGCATTGCTTTCCTCATTTAGGCGAACGTGAGGTTCAAGCTGATAGGAGGTAAAAGTTTATTTGGGAATAGAAAGGAAATATAAAGATTCCAAATGTTGCAATAAGTATTTGAGATTACTTTTGTTTCTCCAAGTAGAGGGAACAAACGCCAATCCCCAATTTTGCAGGGGGTTCCCACATTACTTTCCTATTACAACATGCAATGGGTAACATCAGGTTTATATTCCTATCTTGGTCCTCGAGCTGTAGGATTGTTACCTAAGGTATTATTCTTCATATTTCCTATCTATCTTAAGTACTTTCCTATTTAAAAACCTGATGAAGTTTCATCTAAATGCTTAGTTATATTTATTTCCTTTTAGTCATGTATATGTTTATCCTATTTAGATACGTTATTTAATTTCACCTCCATACTTTGTTATGCATAATTTTCCTTTATAGTCTGCTATATGTTTTCCTGTATGTATTATATATGGTGTTATTTCATCTTCATGGTTTGTTTATACATACATTTCCTACATATCCGCTGGGTTGTACTTGTACGATTTGAGAAATTGATGAAAATATCAAAAGTCTTCACCATGACAACTCTTTCCTGACATTCAGTAAAGTCTTCATGATTTAACCTTATGGTTACACACAAAGTATCTAATTTAGGAAATTGTTGACGGGTCGTTATCAAGCTAATATCCACAGTAATACATGTAAATAACACACAGCTTATGTTTTCTCAGATGTGGTACAGTTAGTGGATTTAATGTCGTTCCACAGAGCACGTGACACGATATCCACATCCTCTGTAGAGAAAGTGAAGAACCCACAATCATACACATTTTCCAGTGATGTCCAGTCTGTGTGGCCAGCTACCCCAACCATCACTACACTCACCCCGTTGTTGTCCTGCAGATGTCCGAGCTGTGTCCGCACGTACGGAACCGATTCTTCTGGTATGAGACCGGTTGTGACAAATATGACATACTTCCTGGTCCCAACACTACTGTAGGATGTGTGAGTACCTGCAAACGTCATCACACTGTCCCAGTCTGGTCTGTTATCCGGCGACTGTCTCAGTTCCTTTACAGCGTCCATCATGTACGGCAGATTTGACAGTTGGCATCCCTTTACGACGTACTTTAATTTGGTGCCATGTGTGGCTATACTGATGGTTACAGTGTGATTGGTATGATAGGAGCTGATTTTATCGAGAAATGTTTGTAGGAAGTTCAGCACCGTCTTAAACGTTTTGCCGCTCTGTGATGCTGATGTCTCCACTAATAATAGCATATCAGCACTGTATTTGGTTTCACATCCTGTGGAGAAAGATACAGACGAATACTTAGACATCTTTATATGATAGTTAAGCAGTCTTATTTTTGTTTCAGATGATATAGATACAATCACAATTACAGACAAATGTAGTTTACCTGTACTGTTCCCATCGTGTAGATCCCATTGGAGAAGGTCCAGTAGTTTGCTGGGATCTGGCGCCAGTAAGTACGAACTGTTGAAGGCCACACTCTCCAGCACGGTGTGATACACAGACCTTCCCAGTCCAACACTGACCACCCTGATATCACCGTTTCCATTAGACAGACCCCTTGCACTATTTATGGCTTTCTCCCTGTCATTGACCAGTCCGTCGCTGACCACAACAACATACTTCAAGGCAGACTGTCTTCCTCCGTTGGTCCACCGGAACATGTCTCTGTAGGTAAAGCGAAATCAAGTCACTCGGTGAACTTTAACCTCAGAAAATCCTTTTTGTTAAAGTTTGGTTTGGTTTGGTTTAGTATTGTTTAACGTCCTATCAACAGCTATGGTCATCTAAGGACGGCCTTTCCTGTGTGCAAGATGCATGCGTTTAGTGTATGCATATGTGTTTTGGGAGCTACGATATATTCGTGTTTGTCTCCTTGAGATAGCGCGAAACTGATGCCGACTTTATAGTGCTATCTCACTGAAACATACTGCCGAAGACACCCAGCAGGACGAGAAATGAACATGTTTCAGTTTTTAAATATTTGAGTAATTAATAACTGTCCACTCAGTGTTTGGAAACAATAGATGGAAGAACGAAATACCCTACCTTCACTTATTTTTTGGAAAATAGGGATATATTGCACTACGTACGTACCTTGCCTTTTCTAGTCCGGTTTCATGTGAGAAGTACTGTTGAGATGGGATGTATTTAGAACACGCTCATGAATACAGTCCTTTTTCTGACAAGAAAAGAAGTCGAACTCCACATTGGCTGTCTTGGAGAAACTTACAACAGCCACCTGTGTGTCGTTGGGAGCTATGGTCAGATTGTCAGTAACGTCTACTATGTACTGGAGGATACTGGCAAACAAAGCCGATTCGCTGTAGGAGGAGTCTATGACAAACACTATGTCGGCAACCTTTACGGGACGTGCCATGTAACCATTGAGTCTGAAGACGAACTTGCCCGTCTTGTTGACGTTACTACGGGACACCACCGTGGCGATTTCCTCCGTGCCTGATCCCTCCACAGCGTAGTAGTGGGTATCATCTCCCTTATTGAAGCCAACCTTAAAGTCAACGCATGTTTACATTAATTAAATTTTGATATGAAGTTATCAATTCCCTTTATTAACAATAAGTAATAACTTTAACCATTAAATCTGTCTCCCCTCTATATTTTTCTGTTTTATTGTGTATTGGTAACAATAATCAATTTAATACGACGAGGAGAAAACGTTGTTTTTGATAAAGAAAATAGGTCAGTAATGAACAAGAGGCCCAGAGGGCCTTTATCGCTCACCTGGATATCATGGCAAAATATTCTCCAAATGAGATCCAAGGGAATATGCCAGACCCCAAGGCCAATCCTTGTAGCATATCTGTATCATATTTTTCATGCCCAGCAATTCTATGTATGGTTATGGGTTGGGGATCTCAACTGTTTCCAAGCTGTGTCTCAGAAACTAGGTCCCTAGTGTTGTGGCCAGACCCCAGGATCAATTCTAATATCATGACTGCATTCGTCTCTTTATGCCCAACAATTGTATATATAGTTTGGGGTGGGGATCTTAACCATTTCGAAGTTATGACCCAAGGGTTAAGTCTCCAAGGGTGGGGCAGACCCCAAGACCATCCTGGAAGTATATGTTTATAGCAATATAGCCAAATTGCCTGCTTTTGGTCCCGCCCCTCAGCCCCCTGCGGGATCAGCCCCATCATTTGTACAATTTTGAATCTCCATCACCTAGGGATGCTTCAAGTCAAATATAGTTCATATCCATCTCTTAGTTCCAGAGGAGAAGTCGCTTAAAGCAATACAGCCACATTGCCCCCTTTTTGGCCCCGCCCCTCAGCCCCCTGGGGGGGGTCAGGCCCACTATTTGTTTGATTTTGAATCCGTACCACCTAAGGATTCTTCCAGTCGAATTTAGTTAAATTCCAATCAGTGGTTAAGAAGAAGAAGTCGTTCAAAGAAGTTGTTGACGTACAGACGACGGACGCCACGGTAGGGCATAAGCTCCCCTTGGTCCTTCGGACCAGGTGAGCTCATAAATGGGAAATTGGTTTACCTTTGCATTTAAGTGATGTGTCCACCAATAACCCGCAGAGTACTGTATTTTGTTGTAGTTATAAATTACAAATGACAACACACCGTCAGTAAGAAGAACAGCTTGAAATGTATTTTTTAGAGCAGGCTGGTACTGAAACGAATTGTGAAAAAAACGTTAAACATGACACATTTATTACATAACATCAAACACAAATTGACTATTTTACATATCCTACCCTTTAATTACATGTAGATGCCAAACATGCTACCTGGATGTTCCTGTCAACATCGAATAAACTTTTATTGTCCTCGGCTTAACAATAATTAAAAATCTTAAGACTAACAAATTTCCTAACAATCATATAAACAATATTCTAATTCGTTTGAGATGTAACACGACATTTGATTGGTCAATCAAAATAATTTGCGACAGCACAACCACGATATACCGTCCGAAAATTTCTCATTTATATATGAAAATGACGTCGATGACCCCGACTGACCTTGAAACGGCATGAAATTGATTATTAATGACGTCACGAACAATAGCGGAGACCCTGAATTTGAAGAAATCGCTCAAAATATCTTAAAATCGTCTTTTTTCCCAGTGGTTTTGGTTTATATGAATAGAATGCGGATAACCCTACGGTATTTTGAAATTTGCGGCGGTCCGCGTCGCCAATAAAACTCAGTTTGCAACAGTATAATCACGACATACCGCGGCAAATAAAAAAAACCAACACCAGTAGGGTTATCCCCTAATTGAAATCTCTCAAATAACCATTATATTAAACACTATTCAACATTCAAACTCGATTATTTGTTATATATTTCACAATCACATTAAACCTTATTAATGTCATACTTTTCACAATTATAATAATGTAATGAACTAAACGTGAATTTACATGCTAAACGCCTCACAATTATATCAAACATAATTATACAAATTATAATTTGCACAATTATCTTTAAAAATATGCAAAATTGATTTACATATCATGTTCCAAATATTAAACGATAATAAGTGAAATACCACGTATGGTGGTAAAGGGGTTAAGGGACATCTGTGACGTTAAAGTTCATTACTGGTTTACCTGACATTTGTTGGTTCGTTACTGATTGACACCTGTGGTATCATGCCTGGCAGCTTTAGTGTTTGTTGGTTCATAGTTTGTCTGGTATATTTGATACCTGTACGCTTTCCTTGAGCCTAACGCTCGTGTTGATTGTATACGTTATGTAGTAACCATCCTCGATATCCAGGGGTTACGCTCACTTTCGCTTTCTGCACCCCTGGACTATGTCATAGTAAAATTGAAGGCAGGAAGATAGCTGTTTAATTGGTCTCGGGTAAAAACAACTGACCTATCGCTAGGCTGATACCTGTCCTTTGAATATTGCAAAGGAGGGACGCCCGACTTCAAAGCCTGTCAAATTTTACCGTTACGTGCCTGCGAGATTGTTTTGATGTATATCAAAGGATCGAACTAGTCTCCCTGTCTCATCAACAAGGTGGCGCACACAGAGTCTTCAATTTTTCTATGACATAATCCAGGGTGTAGAAAGCGAAAGCGTAACTCCTGGATATCGAGGATGTGTAGTAACTGATGTAGAAAAATACAACCACCTCCGACAGCGTAAATAGATGATATACTGAAGTACTCATTATAGTCGTTATAGTTTTATGTCATCAATACACTTTAATCCACCTTTTGATAGTACCTTTTAATAACAACTAATACATTTGAATCTTTTTTACTTTAATCTTATGAATAAAGGTAAATTCTGATGTTGTTTCTTTGAGGAAGTACAACACACACCTCTAAACCGATATCGTATTTAAAGGTCAGAAAATGGGAAAAAACCCAGACATAAACTGAGAAACACAATCAATTAATCGGAAAGATATACTTCATATTGAACTAAGATATTTATTATGACACGTCAATTAAGGTGTGGGGTACTGTCCTTAAACAGTAAGCAAAAAGGAAATATATATAACTATATTCAATATCGGAAAAAATGTGATTCTGTAAAAGTTAAATGGTATATCATGTCTTTATGTGTTTAACATTCATATAATTCCATCTTTGACCCAAGTTATGGTTTGCAGGTCAGTATAAATAAAAATGAATTTGGGTGCTAGACACTGGTTTAAAAAGTGACATCTTGTAAAGTGTGTAATTATAATGTATGTTTATATCCCTCTAATACTATACATTGTATAGTATTGTGAGGAAACACTCTACTTAGTAAATATGTTGTAATGCATCTTGGCACTGTTAGGCGATTACTGACTTCCTCATTTTCCTATTATGTATTTTTGTGAGGTTTGTGTTTGTGAATTTGGCATTGTCTCATTTATTTAATTTAAAACTGTTATCGGTACCCAATGTTAACAAACAATTGAACAATGCCATTGCTTCTACCCCGTTATATGAAATGTATAATCAAAAATGACACAGAGAGTAACAACATCGGGTTTGAGAACAACTACTTCCAAACTACGATCTTTTTTATGAATGGTTTACCAAACAGTCGGTTACATCAATCCACGACACTATAAACATCCAGGAAATATTGAAGTTCATCAGTTCTGGAAAGTATGACATGATCTCCTTTCCTGCTCGTTCAAATTCCTCTTCAGAGGTTACCTCCTTCCAGCAAGTTTTCTCTGCATTATACCAACAATAGTAATCCGTCCAAAAAGGAGCTAAGTATGCACCTGATCCTGGGAAAGAGTTTCTGAGGTCTGGATATATCAAGTCGCCAAAAACAAGGATGCCATTAAGAAATACCTACATTTTTAGAAAGAAAGAAAATATTTAAGAATCCTAAACTACATAGCATAACAAAACTAAGTTATGTTTACAAAGTCTTAATGTATCTCTCTTTATATATTCCAGTCTCATTATATGTGTATGTTACCAAGTATATGTATATGTAATACAAAATTACAATCTGTGTGAGTCTTACTATCTGTGTGTGTTACCAAGTCTTACTATCTGTGTAT